ATGTGTGTGTATTTATATATACATAATAAATATACACAGTACACACGTATATTATGTAAACAAAAAGTTTTATTTTGGATGCGATTAATCGTGATTAATCATAAGGCAGCACTACTTTAGAATTATGCCTTGTAGAATGCTGTGCAATAAATCTAATTATAACACTATGTGCTAACTAAGTGTTACGCCCTGTCTAGAGAAAAGGAGAAACATGAAAGGACTTTCATAGACAATGACTTGCAAAACAATAATGAAGTTTTTTTTTTGTTTTTTTTTGGAAGTTTAGGTTTGAGAGCTGACCAGGCCAAAATAACAAACAAAACGTTCCTAATTTTAATCCTCTATTTTACCTTTTAAGGATTACGTAATTTTCTTCCCCAGTGCTGGGTAGTAACTAATTACATATAATATGGATTACGTAATCAGATTCCAAAAATTAAGGACACATTTTAAAATACTTGCAATCAGACTAGTTACTTTTGTTGATTACATGATTGCATATTATACACACACAAAAGCAATAACCTATTCATAATCTATTGATTCAATTTTTCATCTTTTAAACGTACCTTTCTAAAATAGCCATAGCCTATTGCTTAAAGGTGCACTAAGCGATTTTTAAAAAACGCTTTTGACCACAGTGTCAGACCGAGTCCCAAAACACACTTGTAGCCAATCAGCAGTAAGGGGGCGTGTCTTGTAATGACAGAGAAGAGAGCGCTCAGTTTGAGTGCACAGGATGGATATTAGCAGATTGACTATAGATATCAGCGAAACAAAACATTAAAAAGAAGGGTTACGATTAAGCAAGAGGTAGGACCCGCGTAAATATCGGAGCAGCTTTCCAGCAGTGGAGAGAACTCAAGGAGAACTCAAGGAGCGGGAAGGGCTCGAATTGGACGCCGAGGTTACGTCGTTTCTTCTTGATAGGCGAGTAACATTGATTTTGCTTCATTTCACACAACTTATCCGTGTTGGCTTTTGTTTGAATATGCTTGCGTGTCATCTTCGCTTGCTTCTGCGATTGTCGTTGCCTTGGTTGTGTACGTACGTGTGGGGCAGAGATTTCAAAATAGGGGCGAGGTCCTGTTGGGGTATGGGCGTGTTCGTTTTGGTGCTTTCAAATATCAACATTGTTTGGCAAAAAAAAATCGCTTAGTGCACCTTTAAATACATTCAGAAAGTCTTCCAGTTTTGTGGATACTCACACAGCATCTCGGAGATCTCAAATCAATTACTTGGCACAAGTTATTACTCTACCACATGCGTGTGATGTCATTAACAATGGCCCTTGAACTAATGTGGTTAAAAAATTAGGGATGCAACAGCGTTTGGGAAACAGTCATGACTAGCTAGTTAATTTCCACTACAATGCATCATACCAAGGTGGTTAATCAGCAAGTTATGTTGTAAAGGAAACACATCCCTGATCAACATTAAGTTGATTTATAGTTAGGTGCTCCTTTTTTTTTTTTGTAATTTACAATTACAATTGGTACACACATCAGTAATAAACAAACACAACACCAATCTCACCTTGAGCTGAAGAACAACAATCTTTATCAATGACAATGGCACCTGTCATCTGGGTAGTGTCAGAATTTGGGAGAGAGACATCAGAACTGAGGCAGTAGAACAAAGCACAAATTGGGTCAAATTCAGGGTCAGGCTCAAGGTCACGACGAGTCCTTGCATGAAGCTCCATGCTTATCATTGTGAGGTGCTGTACCTATAGCAGGGAGATAAAAACGTAAGATGAGATCAGTTGAATTCCCATAAAAATAAACTTGAGTTTCTAGCCATGTGACATGACATGAAGACAAAGCTTTTTTCCCCCCTTTGTTAAAACTATATTTTACGTGTTTATGTAAGTTTGATTAATCACTCAGTTTAATGAAAGCAGTTCTTACTAAAACACAGTCAAAAGAAGATCCTACCTCATGCAATGCTTTGGCCTCCTGCAAGTTCTGCATACTGACTTTAAAACCATATGAATTACAGATCGATGGTCCCTCAATCTGGGAGTTTTCTCTCTTCGGAACATTCATAGTGGTAAGCTGATTCTGTAAGGGATATAATGCATATGCTATAAAAACCCTATAAAATACTAAACAAGGATTATAAGATTGAAACTTCAGGAGATTCATAAATTCATTAACTTTCATCTGAATAAATTCATCTGACCTTCATTTGTGTGGTAAGCAAAACTCTCCGTAAAGCATCTTTGTTTTTGTTACCCTTCTGAAGTAGTCGCTGTGATCTGGGCTCTATGTCTGTACAAAAACAGATCCAAAAGAGTTTTTCAATGAAAAGATACATGTAAAAGCTTAGTAGACATCTTTTTTTGGAAATATATTGTCTAGTAAGCATGACTGCATAAGACAAGTAAGCATGACTTATTCACAATTTTCCTGATCTTATCAGCAAAAGAAAATATAATTATTTTACAACTATAATTGTAATAGTAATAGTACAATAGTAATATTTGTCATAATTTCTTCAAATTAAACCAAACTTTTATTTTGGCAGTTTGCCATGAAGATCTTTGAGTTTCACTGAGTATTTGACGGTAGCTTTTCTAAAATTAAACAGTGAAAAGTGACTGTCAGAGTAGCTATGGTAATAAAATGAATGTGTTCATGTCCTTGGTTGTGTAGCAGACAAAACTATGCCATTCATTCACAAAGAAAAAAGCAGAACACGCAGCCCTATTAGCGACATGCACTGACTGGCTGTTGTCGCATTTATTTCTGCTCTTATAGACTGATAGATTAATCACAATTGAGTAAAATGTCCACAGCTTATCATAGTCATTGACCAATTTTATAATGATCTCGATGTGATATTGTTTATTTCCAAGCCCTATGTCAACCCCATCGAGACAAAAGAATTTACCTCTCATCATTAGGCGGGTTCCAGTCTGAAAATGTTTGGGAACCCATTATAGATAACAGAGCTGAACAACTTAGTTAAAACATTCAAACTTTCAAGAAAAAAACCATAAAACTATACCTTCATTTCTTATTGGACTGTAGCTAGACCCATCGTCATCAATGTAGCTTCTCTGGTGGACAGGTGTGCTATGGAGCAGGTAAGAGCATTTGACATCAGAATCTAGGTTTTTAACATGAAAAACTGATGGACTCAAGAGGTCCTTTGGCTGTACATTTTCAAGTGATGTGTCATTGAGATTTTGAGACAGGTTCAAGCCGGGGGATTGTAATACATCAGTCAAATCCTCCATGTTCTCCTCTTGTTTACTCTCAGCAGGCCTTTGTTGCAATGTAGAAAGATCAGGAGAATTTGGAGGAGTGATCGGACAACCTTTGTTTGTCTCTATGTCCAAGATGCCTTTTGTACTCTTAGGGCTACTGTTAGATGAAGCTGCATTAACTGGTGAAATATGGAGTGGTAAACTTAAGCCATTCCTACTGATACTCTGCAACTCTGAAGACTTTTCATCTTTTTTCTTCCACCTTTTATCATGATTCTCTGAGGAAGGTAAATTAGAGTCCTCATTTTGAGGTGAGGTCCTGTCATATGTTCCAAGTTCCACAGTTGTCTGGCCACCCATTTGTTTCCCATCACTCTGAAGGCACTCATACTGTTTTTTGGCTTGCAGCCAGAGCTGCACCTGTTCTCGACTTGGGGCACACTTGCAGGGAAGCATAATCACTTTTTGATCACTGCCAGAAAATGGGTTTTGGTCCTTGGTCAATATAGAGAATTTACACCAATTGTCTGGTGCAGAGGCTTGATTTGTCATTGCAGAAAATGCAATTTTCCAAAATTGTAAGCCGTTTTGAGATAAGTCTCCATGAAATTCAACTAGTTCATTCACCAGCCTGGTTTCCAAAATCAACTTCCGACCACCAACCTCCCTGTGGGAAAAAAAACAAAACAAAACAAAAAACAGTAACTTAAAAGAATATACAAAAACAAAACCCATGCAGGTAATCCATTATAAATGTTACCTTGGCTTCAAGGTTGCATCTGATGGGTCACTGCAGAATGGTTCCTGGTAGGTGGCTTCTGAGAGGTCCAGAGCCATCAGAGTAGCTAAGATTTCTTCCCGAGTAGGTGGAGACATGAGAGGTTTGAGAATGTGAGCTCCCCCACTTTTTGAACTCTGACCTCCATTTTTCAGCTGGTACAGCGAGTTGATGGACTGTGGGGAACTGCTTGGTGTTGCTGAACTGCCATCTAGGGGATCACTATTTGGGGAAACACCATTATAAGCAAATGAAGCAGAAGTAAGGGGGGGAAAGGGCTCTGGGTCAAGCAACACATCTTTCTTTTCACAATGAAAGTCCTGAAAGTGGCTGACGCCATGGATTTTACCTAAACAGCCCCCCCAATCTTTGCTAAAAATCTTTTCTGAATCAAAAGATACCTTATTGGGATAAACTTTGCCACTTTCACAAAATGACTTATCAAACAGTTCTGGACTAAGAGCCCCAGACTTATGCAAGTCCTGTTCATGCTTGCTGCTCTCATCAACATCAAACAACTTTTGTGTCCTGTCGCCTAACCCAACAAGGGCATTGATTGCCTCCTGACTGACATCACTGAGGAACTTCTGAGGCAAGTTCCTATCAGTTAACACAAACTGGTTACCAGAATAAAGACTGGAAAACTCTGTTTGCCCAATGGCATTGATATCAAAGCTGTAATTGTCTGGGAGCTCTGGGGACAAGCTATCATCAATAGAGCAACAGCTGTCAAAGCCAGGGTCAGAGAAAAACACAGGACTGTCATCTGATGAAAGATGGTAAATTCTCAAATCATCCTGTTTAATTTTATTACTTCTGATTTTGAACTGTAACTCTTTTGGCACTTTAGTTCTTGCACCCCTTGGTTTTCTTGATGTTGATGAATGAGCGGTTTTAGATTTGGCTGTTTTGAGAATATCTGTAGGTTGACAGGTAGAAGACATATCCTGAGTCACATAATCGTTTTCATTTGGTTCCTGTCCTGCCTCGAGCTGCCTCTTCTGGAGAAGTTCCTTCAAGACAGCGAGCCCAGAAGGCAACTCAGGAACACACATTTCGTCAATTTTAGGGTCTGAGGACAATGTAAGACCTGTGTGAAATCCAGCTTTAATTGCACTCTTAGCAGAGGGCATAAGGGAGGATCTACAATCGACAGACTCCAATAAAGTTGTCATGGTATCTTTCTTTTTTGTTTGCGGTCTTCTTGATTTTTTGATCGTTTTTCTGGTTGACTGCAAATGCTGTATAGTTTTGGGGTTTTCCCCATGGCCAGAGACCTCTGATTTGAATTTATATAGTTTTTTTGTGATAGTCCCATCTTGACTCATATTTTGTGATTTTGAATTGGAACTGCTGTATGTGATGACGGAACATGGATGTCCAACCATCTTGGTGGATGAGGAAAGAATATGATTTAGAGATTTTTCAATACAGGGATTGAAGACAATCTGTGAGTCATTTGAGGCAATAGTATTGAAGACAAAAACAACATCTTGATTAGATTTTTTTCCAGTGCTGGTGACCTCTGTTTGAGAGCCTGAACAACTGATAGTAAAGTCCTCTTGACTGCTTTTTAGAGAACTGGGATGTTGATAAGGAGTTAAGTCATCATATGAGGAAGTAATAGGTGCATTGTTAACTGAATGTGGAGCCTGTGAATTATCACTCTTCTCACGTTGGACCTGCTTTTTTCTTGGGACTTGCTTCTCATTCAGCATCCTGTCTTTCTGAGAGGTAGATGTGTCATCTTCCAGAACAATTCCTTCAATACTTTCACAACGTTTCTTATGTCTCCTTGAAGCCGCTCGAATACCTTTCCTCTGTGAATCCACAGTTGTCACTGAATCTGTTGTAGTATTAGCTTGTCTTTTTGGGCTGGTAGCAGAAGTCTTTTTAGACCTGGGTGTTCTGCTTCTATCCCAAAGACCTCTTTGGTATGGTTTTGGAGCTAGTACTTGATAGGATGAACCTAGACATGGATCATTATGTGGGTTTATTAGATTTGAATTTGATCCCAGTAAGGGCTCAGTAGGAGACCAACATCTAGGTGGGGTTGAATCAGTAGGACTGGAGGCTCTTTCTGACAAATAACCCAACTCCACCATCACATCAGAATACTCTGTACAGCAGTCATCAGTGAACTCATTATAACAAGGCCATGGAGGGGGTAATTTCGGTAAAGTTATCAGTGCTTTTGCATGCTTCACCCTCCTAGTCTGACCAGCTCGTGGACACCTAGATTTTGGAGAGGTGCCGGCCCTCTTTGACACTGGGTTCACCTTAGCCTTTCGTTTGGGACACTTCTTTACTTTTGGCTCAAGTAGCGGGTACTTCACTGCTGTAGACTCTGGTACTTTGGGCCAGAATTCTTTGAGAGGAGCAAGCTTTTTGTATTCTGCAAGTTTTTCTGATGTTAAAACGGTGCACGTTTCATCAGCGTTAATTTTAGAAATCTTCACTAACATGTTTTTCTGACCTTTGAATCTGTTAATGATTATATATTTAATGATGATTGGTGGCTCTTTTTTTGTCAGTTTCCTCTTTTTTTGGCTAAAGTCATGATCTTTGCCCTTAAGGCCTTCATGTTGCACCAAAGCTTGTTTGAAAGAACCTGAACTTGCCTGATCTCCATTTTCACTGTTGTAACTCATTTTCCTTTTTGCCCGCAAGGTATATTTGCTACCTGGTAAACTGGACACCTTGGTGCAAGAGATTTTGGAAGGAATATCTGCAAGTTTATCCTCTACTGAGTTCTTAATCAAACCTTCAATGGTTGGTGGATCTGACGTTTCCATGTCAACCTCCTTATACATTTCTTTCTGGTTAAGAGAGCCTAGAGCGTTGGAAAGAAGTGCTGTGGCTTCCTCTTTCATAGGAGAAGGGGTCCTCACAGGACTTTCCCTTTTTTGACCCAACGTTGTTTTCTTTTTGATCAACTTTAACCTTGACCTTCGCTGTTCAGGATGGTCTAAGGTAGAGCAACCATTCCCAGTCGGTTTCTTGATGGGTCTGGACAGGCAATTAGACAGAATAACGCTTGGGAAAAATTTGTAGTGTGCCTCCTGTTGTGCCACAATGGTCCTCTCAGTTTTATTCTCTTGATAATCCTCATATCTTATTTTCAGTTTGCTGACATCTTCCTCTTTTTTATCCCGTCCCGTTTCATCTTCTTGAGGGCCCAAAGCTTGGCTCTCTTCCATAGGGCTTTGTGTCTGGTCAAAACTTATCACTGGTCTTCTGCAGTCATTTGGATTGAGTTGCATTTCAGTCTTGGTGGGACAGTTCATAAGCTCAGAGTAACATACAAAGAAGCTCTTGTGATTCTCGGGGATGGATAAATGGTTCTTTTCCACATTTTTAATACTGGTAGAATTTTTTATGCTCTGGGCAAGCTTAGAGTTTCCAAAAATTGAATCATCAGGATCTGGCTGATTAAGGCCAGTGGCTTGGTTTTCATCAGTGTACAAAGAGTGCACACCTATTTTTTCAGCACCAAGTTTAGGTATATTTGCGGTCTTAAAAGGAATTGGGTGTTTAACTGGTGGAAAATATGGCACCTCTTTGTTAACTCTTAATCCAGTTGAAAATTCATTTGCCTCTTCACTTTTTAAATGCTTTTCTGCTAAATCCTCTTGATTGAGTTTCTGCTCAGCACAGTGGTATTCAATAACAATTTTAGCAGAAGATGGTGGCTCCATACGAACAGCTTCATTTGGAAAAACATTTCTGCTACCAAGGATCTTGTCTGTTGCTTTTAGAGATGAGCGTGTCCGGGATTCCTTGTCTGTTAGTGATGAATCTACAGGAAACATGACAGCAAGTATGTATATACCACTGCACCAAAAGCAATCATACTTTTCATTCCAATTTATTAAATTAAATTAATTAAAATTCTACTTACCGCTATTCTCATCTGCAGCTCCATCCAACTGTGGAATGGACAGATCAGTAAGAGCAGCACTGTTTCCCTTCCAATATATATCTTCATCTGATGAGGCCTGCTGCTCTTCACTGGAGCTTTCGTTTGCTTCTTTCATACATAATCTGCGCAGGAAGGCAACACAGATTATGATTAAACAACATGCCATCAATTTAAATAATCGAAATGCATAACATCACACAGGCACCATCTGCTGTGGACCAGCCAGTGTTTTCCTAAGAGGTCTATTCTGAATGCCTGTTAAGAAAGGTATAATAAGTTAAGCTTTCTGCTCAAATGAACCTGACTGACCATATAACATATAATAAGAACTGTATAATGTAGTTAAAATAACTATATAATTAATGCAAACAAGAATTAAAAGCATATACTAGACAATTCCAACAATACTAACGGGAAATCTGGTGACCTTTGCCCAGCAGAAGGTCCTGGCATGTCACAGTCCCATCTTTGGGACATGATTCTACTGAGCTCTGACTCCTCTTTCTCCAGCTCAGGCCCAGCTTCCTCATCATCACTGTTACAGACGCAGCTAGAAATCCCTGACAGCTGCTGGGACACTGCTCTGGACCTGTCGGCTCTAAATCCATCATCAGCCAATGCTTCAAATACATCAACCATAGCCTGGTCTTGACTGCTGTCTGTTAAAACATTGTGGAAAATGTAAATGTAATCTTGAAAATATAATTAGAGCATGTACTGTAGAAGAAAAGTGGAATCATGCATATGTACACACATGCAAAACAAAATTTTTAATATAAAGATACGCACACAAAGTACTGCAAAATAATCTTTTTTTTTTTCATCGGTTTTTGTGTTTTCCAGTATAAATATCCAAAACATGTGTTTACTTGAAAAGCATGTAACACATTAAAATACATTATCTTAAAACAAGTCTTAATATATTTTGAAATTCACTTTTTCCTACTGCCATATTTTTTAACCATAAATCTAGTGAATGTTATATAAAATATAAAAATACAAACAAAACTGAATATACAGTGGGGAAAAAAAGTATTTAGTCAGCCACCAATTGTGCAAGTTCTCCCACTTAAAAAGATGAGAGAGGCCTGTAATTTTCATCATAGGTATACCTCAACTATGAGAGACAAAATGAGAAAAAAAATCCAGAAAATCACATTGTAGGATTTTTAAAGATTTTATTTGCAAATTATGGTGGAAAATAAGTATTTGGTCAATAACAAAATTTAATCTCAATACTTTGTTATATACCCTTTGTTGGCAATGACAGAGGTCAAACGTTTTCTGTAAGTCTTCACAAGGTTTTCACACACTGTTGCTGGTATTTTGGCCCATTCCTCCATGCAGATCTCCTCTAGAGCAGTAATGTTTTGGGGCTGTCGCTGGGCAACACGGATTTTCAACTCCCTCCAAAGATTATATAGTGTCATATAGTGTTTTTCAGAAAGGGACAAGCCCAGACTGGTTCTATGGCTGTTTTGCCACCGCCTGCAGAGGTATAAAGCTTGAAACGGTGGTGCCAGGCCTCCTGTGGACATGTGGTTTATAAGCAGAGGTGTTGCATGCATCCTCCCATGCACCATGTGTTCTTCCGATGCCGGGCTCAAGGTTTCACACTCTCAGCCTGACCCGACTGCACCACCCACTCACGGGAACTTGGTGCTTCCAGGTGGCTCTCTCAGTGCCTGACAAGTCTGGGATGTTGCACGCCAACTGCAGTCTACGTGAGACTCCAAAGGTCTACGTTTGCTGTTGAAGTCGGTAGCGTGTTGACCTACTGCTCTCAGAGCCGTAGTAGCTAATTGATTAAACGTGAGAGCCTGCTGGGACTGTGCTTGACTTGCACTTTTGCTCGAGTGCAGTAATATTTAGAGGTTTGAAAATTGTTGTGACGTTCCATCAATGACATGGAAAATGAGAGTGCACATTTTCTGCTTTCAGCAAAACCTGTGTTCCACAGGTTTAATGGTTTTGATGCAGTATGCAGCAGTTTTTTTTGTATTCTTAGTAGACTATAGTATATGTAGTTGAGCAGTAGGCATTTTAGTCTAGGGGTGACCCCGAATAGTCGACGATTCGATGCTTCGATGGGAGGAGCCTGATTCGACTACCAATCTCACTGTCGAATATTCGCTGAGGTGTTATGATCATGCCATTTTGGCTATATGGGGGTGCTCAATGTCTAATTTCTCATAGAACTACCTGTTTTCGCCCAATAAGTAAATATACAGCCTATTATGATAATGATGTAAATAAGAATCTGAAAAGAAAGAAGCTTCAAATAAATATTTTAACGTGCGTGAATAAATCCAACCACCCCTACAGATTTAAGTTTCACTTTCCATAATCCGTGACTGACAGAGGAGCATCTTGGTGGCAGGGATGTAAAACTTTAACAAGACACAAATTGACACAGGCAGAGTGAAAGACTGGATTTTTTAAATCAGGTAGGTACAAGTGATTTCAAAACATTTCAGCCGGTTTATATATATATCGTGTATACATGATCTCATATAAGAAGCATTTGGTTGAGTTGCGCTGCAAGCGCTTCGTTGTAACTCTACTGGTCATCTTCAGCTCAAAACAGAAATGCAGTGTGTTTTATACTGATAACAAGTTCAAACAGATGCCATTAATACAGGTAACGAGTGGAGGACAGAGGAGCCTCTTAAAGAAGAAGTTACAGGTCTGTGAGAGCCAGAAATCTTGCTTGTTTGTAGGTGACCAAATACTTATTTTACCGAGGAATTTACCAATTAATTCTTAAAAAATCCTACAATGTGATTTTCTGGATTTTTGTTTTCTCATTTTGTCTCTCATAGTTGAGGTATACCTATGATGAAAATTACAGGCCTCTCTCATCTTTTTAAGTGGGAGAACTTGCACAATTGGTGGCTGACTAAATACTTTTTTGCCCCACTGTATATAATGTTTACACTGAGAAAATGTATCATTTTACTAGAGTAATATATTTTACTGTATGTTTGGATCTCAGAAAAAAAACAATTTTTTTATATTTTTTTATTGAAGGAAAAAAATTGCAGTGTGAAAACAATCAAGGGAAAAGGTAAGAGTTTTTGCTTGTGGAAACAGATATATTAGTTAGTGATAATCTCAGTACCAAGTATTGCTGATTGGTTGGGTCCCTGAGAATGAGGGAGGAAGGTCTGACTGTTCTCCAACAAACTCAAAATGGCCTCTTCATCAACAACTGCCACTTCAACATCTTTCCCACCATGCCTTTTTGCGTCTATATGGTGAAAAAAGGAAACATTTTTAATAATACATTCAATTTGAAAGGGGTCCTATCATACTTTTTTCCCTTTAATGTACAATGTTGCGGTTTGTGCATGAAAACAATCTGCAATATTACGAAGCATAAAGTGCACTCCAAAGATAGTTATTCTCTATATTAGTAAACATTGTTTCTGAACTCCCTCAAACACCTGAACTGCTTAGTTTTTCAACGTCACTTTTTTTTTAACGTTTCATGAGTGCAATAGAGATGATAATCAAAAACAAGCAGATGTTTTGTTCATTGTTGCTATAGTAACCAAGGCATGAGCTGTAAAGGCACAGCCTTTTTCAGGAAAGGGTGCACAGGGTGCAGCAGCTCACTTGCATTTAAAGATACACACAATCATAATTTTTGCTTCCAGCCAAAAATGGATATTGACATCATGGTGTAATGTATGATCAGTGGGGTATTTTGTGCTGAAGGACCCATTCAAGCAATTTTCTATGAGGCTAGTGTTAACATAATTCTTCATATAAACTGTGGCAATATTTCCTGCACTGCTACTGAGAACAGGACTGGCACATTACTTCTGGTGAATCTTCAGAGTTCTGTTATCTTCCAATGATATTTTACTGTATGTTTGGATCTCAGAAAAAAAACAATTTTTTAATATTTTTTTATTGAAGGAAAAAAATTGCAGTGTGAAAACAATCAAGGGAAAAGGTAAGAGTTTTTGCTTGTTGAAACAGATATATTAGTTAGTGATAATCTCAGTACCAAGTATTGCTGATTGGTTGGGTCCCTGAGAATGAGGGAGGAAGGTCTGACTGTTCTCCAACAAACTCAAAATGGCCTCTTCATCAACAACTGCCACTTCAACATCTTTCCCACCATGCCTTTTTGCGTCTATATGGTGAAAAAAGGAAACATTTTTAATAATACATTCAATTTGAAAGGGGTCCTATCATACTTTTTTCCCTTTAATGTACAATGTTGCGGTTTGTGCATGAAAACAATCTGCAATATTACGAAGCATAAAGTGCACTCCAAAGATAGTTATTCTCTATATTAGTAAACATTGTTTCTGAACTCCCTCAAACACCTGAACTGCTTAGTTTTTCAACGTCACTTTTTTTTTAACGTTTCATGAGTGCAATAGAGATGATAATCAAAAACAAGCAGATGTTTTGTTCATTGTTGCTATAGTAACCAAGGCATGAGCTGTAAAGGCACAGCCTTTTTCAGGAAAGGGTGCACAGGGTGCAGCAGCTCACTTGCATTTAAAGATACACACGGGAAAAAAAATCATAATTTTTGCTTCCAGCCAAAAATGGATATTGACATCATGGTGTAATGTATGATCAGTGGGGTATTTTGTGCTGAAGGACCCATTCAAGCAATTTTCTATGAGGCTAGTGTTAACATAATTCTTCATATAAACTGTGGCAATATTTCCTGCACTGCTACTGAGAACAGGACTGGCACATTACTTCTGGTGAATCTTCAGAGTTCTGTTATCTTCCAATGATGTAGTCCTCACTGACTAGGACAGGACTATCAAGATAATATTAACAATATAACAAAACAAAACTAAAATTTATTTATTTCCTTCCACTAAGAGTACCTTCCAAGGTGTACCTGTACTGAAAATAACCTGTTCAAACTGGATGAAATGTTTGGTCTTGCAACATAAAAAAAGAATGTTCTCGGTTACAGCTGTTTGAGAAATAAAGGTTATGGGAAAAAAAATCATAATTTTTGCTTCCAGCCAAAAATGGATATTGACATCATGGTGTAATGTATGATCAGTGGGGTATTTTGTGCTAAAGGACCCATTCAAGCAATTTTCTATGAGGCTAGTGTTAACATAATTCTTCATATAAACTGTGGCAATATTTCCTGCACTGCTACTGAGAACAGGACTGGCACATTACTTCTGGTGAATCTTCAGAGTTCTGTTATCTTCCAATGATGTAGTCCTCACTGACTAGGACAGGACTATCAAGAGAATATTAACAATATAACAAAACAAAACTAAAATTTATTTATTTCCTTCCACTAAGAGTACCTTCCAAGGTGTACCTGTACTGAAAATAACCTGTTCAAACTGGATGAAATGTTTGGTCTTGCAACATAAAAAAGAATGTTCTCGGTTACAGCTGTTTGAGAAATAAAGGTTATATGACTTGTCTTGACATTGATTGAAATGACCATCATGTGATGTAGTAGTAGAACAACATCTTGCATAGAACAAAACCCATAAAAGTGAATTTCAGTGGAACTTTAACTTTAAAAATTTACAAAATTATCCCAATTAAAAAGCAAAATTTGTCCCATATGCAAAATTTAATGACCCATAAACAAAATTGTGACTGTGACAGAGTACAGTGCTATATTTATCTTATAGTATTTAGATTTATTCTTGGCTTTTAAAAATTTTACTGTTTTTAGAGTAATTGTATATGTGGTCAAGGGGTTAATTGCGACTGTGCACCTCACCTTTAAATGCATATTGATGCACATTCACTTGGCTGGCAGGTATGCAAGGCAAGTCATCTGGGCTCAGCACAGTAGGATAGAGTGAGAGCTCAGGGAAAGAGTCAACTTCAGACCCAGTTTGAGTCCTACAAAACAAGATAAACATCAAGCCCTGCCTGCCCACTCTCAAGCAATTCAATACAGCAAACATTCATTCCACCTACTTCTATTAGCATCCTTACACCTTCACCAGAGATGATGGTGTGCGAGTGTGTGAGTTTATGCATGTGTGGGTTTGGGCTGTGTTATGTCCTAAGACATATATTTTATTTTATTTGTATGTTATACATTTGATTTGTGAAGAGGTATATTTGTATTTTGCTCCTTCTTTGTTTTCTCTCTTTTCTTTAGACTCTGACATCATGTTGGGTGGAGCTCAAGATTGGTAATTTATTCTTGTTACCATCAACAATGACCCAAGATTAAAGCTAAGCTGATTCATTAAACTTGAGTGTGGAGGACTGAAGCGCACATACCTCTGTTGGCTGGTGCTATGTTGATGTATTTTTCTAGTAATGTTAATTTCCCCCTAAATGACAAGAGGGACTGTGTAATACGGTTGTCTACTCTCACCACTATAATCCATAATAATTAAATTATGTTTTATAAAACTGTAAGCTTTAAGACTAGAAGTGGCTGCCATTTACATACCTTATTTTTTTTCCCCCAAGTTTCCTTGTTTTATGGTTAAAAAAGAAGAAAGCTTAGCCTTTTTATTTTTATTTCTGATGCACTGTCTGTGTAGACTGTTTTTCATTTATAGTTAGTGGGATGTTTTGGTTATGTTGGCCTTGACCCCTCCTGAAGTTTAATTTTGCTTTCTTTGTGAAGAAAATGGTTTCTTTTGCCTTGTAAATGTTTGGTCTGTATTTTACTACTTCAGGTAGCAGAGAGGTACTGACTGCCTGTCCCCACTACCACAAATGTTATTCTTCCCTACCTTTAGACTCTAAAAAGCATGTAATAGCGGATTACACACATCCAGCTGTCTCACTGTTTAACTGCAGCCAATTACCCTTGCAGTTAGCTAAGCTGAATTCAACATTTGACAACATACCTAATTCCAGAGGAGACGGAAAAAGAATACCTAATTAATGCTTAATATAGCAACTGTAGAAATGGAACCTCTGTCCTTCAGTCACCTTTTTGATAGAACCACAACTTAGGAAATATACTAAATGTTGTACTATTGTTGACATTGTATTGCTTACTCAAAATATATCATTGAAACTTTTCAATTTTGGAAATCTCAATTCAGTGAACTGACTTGCCTTAAGCTTAAGCTATTTTCTGTAAATGTACACGATTTCTGATTCATTAGTCTCTATAGGTAAATAACTAGAAGAGTAAAGCATGGTAAATGATCAAATTATTTGCACTAGTGTGTTACAAATGGTTGTACCTGCTTCTTCAATTTTTTGCATAGATGTGGTTTCCATACAGTTGTCAGGACCGTGGGTAGTGATTATAACATTGCATTGAAACGTTTTGTCCCTCAATTTCTATTGTACACTTTGTTAGACAGAAATTCACATATTTATTTATTTTGCTTCCAACCTGGAGATGGAAAACACATTTATTAGAAACATATGGAAAACTTCACTCACATGTCAAATTCATTTTCCTTGAGAATTTCTTTGAATCTCTTCATGAAGATTTTTTCACTCTCTGCAAACTCTACAAAGCCTCGATCTGAAACAGTAGCCATCGCGCAACATCGTAAATAATATTAATAGTGGTGCTGCAAAAAAAAAAAAAATTCCATACAAGATCTTTTCTCACCTTGTGATTCAGGCATGTCAATATGAGAACTTTGACATCTCTCCTGTCGTCGCTGTTTCTCATCCTCCCAGATGGCCTGAAGACCAGGGTTTCTCCCAATCTGATCTGGACACAAAATGCAAAACAAACAAAAAAAAGCATACTCATAAAATTTACTACACAAATAACACAACTCCAGAGAGACTTAATGTGCACAGTTGATTCCAACAAAGTTTGATTTTACCATGTTGCTTTTCTAATTTTACAACTAAATAAAACAACTAATTTTATGAACATTTAAACTAAAATTTTGTAACCGAGTAGTCCATGTCAAAAAAAAAAAAATTCTGTATAAGCAATCTATTTGAGCCAATATAATCTATGAATCAAACAGTCAAATTTCATACTGAATATCGCTGAAAAATAGGTCATATACATGCAATGTGCTTGCCTTGCACTAACCCTTTAGGGCAGCGTTTCCCAATCCCAGTCCTTGGATTTCCCCTGCTCAGGGAGTAGGGAGCAATGAACACGGTGTAGGGATCATATCAATCGGAACACAATTCATGCACGTAGCTCCCTTCTAACCAGCTGGTTATATGAATCAGGTGTGTTAACTAAGAGAGATATGCAAAATATGCGGCGGGGGGACTGGGATTTGGAAACCGCTGCTTTAGGGTAACAATTTATATACACTTTATAAATTAAGTATGCACAACAATTATTAGTTTATAGTTTATTAGTTTATAGTTAATTCATAGTTTATAAACTGTAGTTAATACATTAATAGATTGTACAAATAGTGAGTTCTTCATTCACTGTACTTAACACAATTATTATTGTTTTATTAGCGCATATGTAGAGAGGTAGATAATGCTTTGTTGACAGCTTTTAACCATAAATAGTTTTCACTTTAGATTAGGTAGATTAAAGTGTTAATTACAGTGAAAATTAAGAACTCAATATACAGTATATAAGCCTATTAATATATTAACAAATGTAGAGACTACAATACATAAACTATGAATAAACTATAAACTAATAGTTTGTTAATGATTTGAAAGTACTTTATTAGTGTATACAAGTGTCACTCACTTTAGAGAGAGATTCTTACTATTAACTAGTTTCTTATTAGCACACATATTACTAGCATATTGGCTGTTTATTATTAATTATAATGTCTTATTCTGCATGGCCATATTTTAAATCCCTTGATTTATGCAATCATGGCTATTATTACCCAGTGTAGACAGGGATTTGCTCTCTCTCACACACACACACAAACAAACAAATCAACCAATCCTTACTCTCAATCTCTAGGCGGGTTATTACCCAGTGTAGACAGGGATTTGCTCTCTCTCACACACACACACACAAACAAACAAATCAACCAATCCTTACTCTCAATCTCTAGGCGGTTGAGAACATCAGCAGCCACGGCATCAACCTCCAGCTCACACACACTCATCCGTTCCACCTCCTCTAAAATCAGAGAACTGCAAAAACACATGCCACACATGAAATAAAGGTCAAAATGCCATACAATGCTGGTATGTTTTGATGTATAGCAAAAACACAGACACACCTTGGTATGTTGTCATCCTCCCAGCGCATTGTATCACTCAGCCCGCCATCACTGAGTTTAGACGTGCAGGGATACTTATATGGGCTGGAGCTACCCCCTCTATTTGACATATGCTCTCCTACTACAGAATCAGAAACAAGTAGTATTAAAGGTGCAAGTTGTAGGCAAAGAGTACATGTAATCATTTGAAAACTACAGTTAGGTCCATATATATTTGGACAATTACAAATTTTTCATAATTTTGGCTCTGTATGCCACCAGAATATAATTAAAATGAAACAATCAAGATGAAATTAAAGTGCAAACTTTAAGCTATAATTCAAGGGGTTGAACAAAAATATAATATAAAAGTGGTTGTAATTCCTAAGCTTTTTATGAAGTCCTCCCATTTTCAGGGGCTCAAATGTAATTGGACAATTAAATATAATCATAAATAAAATGTTAATTTTTGATATTTTGTTTAGAATCCTTTGCAGACAATGACTGCCTTGAGTCTGGAACTCATGGACATCAGCAGAGACTGGGTTTCCTCCTTCATGATGCTTTGCCAGGCCTATACTGCAGCTGTCTTCAGTTGTTTGTTCTTTCTGCCTTAAGTTTTGTCTTCAGCAAGTGAAATGCAGCTCAATCGGGTTGAGATCAGGAGATTGACTTGGCCATTGCAGAAAAAACTCCTGGGTTGTTTTTGCTGTATGTTTTGGGTCATCGTCGATTTGTACCATGAAGCGCCGTCCAATCAACTTTGCTCCATTTGACTGAATCTGGGCAGAGAGTACATCCCTGTACACTTCAGAATTCATCCGGCTGCTTCTGTCCTCGGTCACATCATCACTAAACACCAGTAACTCAGTGCCACTGGAAGCCATGCATCACACTGCTCCACCTTGTTTCACAGATGATGTTGTATGCTTTGGACCATGAGCTGTTCCAAGACTTCTCCATACTTTTTTCTTCCTGTCATTCTGGTACAGGTTGATCTTAATTTCAGCCGTCCAAAGAATGCTTTTCCAGAAGTGGTATGGCTTTTTTAGGTGTTTTTGGCAAAGTCTAATCTGGCCTTGTTTGCACCTTGTGGTGAACACTCTGTATTTGTTCTCCTGAAGTCGTCTCTTGATTGTAGACTTTGACAGTGACACGTCTACCTCCTGGAGAGTGTTCTTCACTTGACTGGATGTTTTTCTTTATCATGGAGAGGATCCTCCAATCATCCACTACTGTTGTCCTCCATGGATGCCCAGGCTTTTTTATGTTGCTGAGCTCACCAGTGCGTTCTTTTTTTCTCAGAATGTACCAAACTGTTGATTTGGCCACTCCTAATGTTCCTGCTCTCTCTCTCTCTGATGGATTTGTTTTGATTTTGAAGCCTAACAATTGTCTTTTTCACCTGCATGGAGATCTCCTTTGACCACATGATGTGGGTTCACAGCAACAGCTTCCAAATGCAAATGGCACACTTAGAATCAACTCCAGACCTTTTACCTGCTTAATTGATGTTGAAATAATGAAGGAATAGCACACGTCCATAAAACAGCTTTTGAGTCAATTGTCCAATTATTTATGGTCCCTTGAAAAAGGGGAGGGGGGGTACATATTAAAGAGCTGTAATTACTTACATTTTCCTCCTATTGTGATGAGAATACCCTCAAATTAAAGTTCAGAGTGTGCACTTTAAACCCATATTCATTATATAACTGTAACTTAAATATGTTTTAGTCAACAGCTAAAATAATAAAAATTGTGCCTGTGTCCAAATATATTGGGTACGGAAAGTATTCAGACCCCCTTACATTTTTCACTCTTTGTTATATTGCAGCCATTTGCTAAAATCATTTAAGTTAATTTTTTTTCCTCATTAATGCACACACAGCACCCCATATTGACAGAAAAACACAGCATTGTTGACATTTTTGCAGATTTATTAAAAAAGAAAAACTGAAATATCACATGGTCCTAAGTATTCAGACCCTTTGCTCAGTATTTAGTAGAAATTTTCCTCCTATTGTGATGAGAATACCCTCAAATTAAAGTTCAGAGTGTGCACTTTAAACCCATATTCATTATATAACTATAACTTAAATATGTTTTAGTCAACGGCTAAAATAATAAAAATTGTGCCTGTGTCCAAATACAGTGGGTACGGAAAGTATTCAGACCCCCTTACATTTTTCACTCTTTGTTATATTGCAGCCATTTGCTAAAATCATTTAAGTTAATTTTTTTTCTCTCCAGGATGATCAGAAGAAATGGACAGCCCCTGAGTTAAATATATGAGTGTCACAGCAAAGGGTCTGAATACTTAGGACCATGTGATATTTCAGTTTTTCTTTTTTAATAAATCTGCAAAAATGTCAACAATTCTGTGTTTTTCTGTCAATATGGGGTGCTGTGTGTACATTAATGAGGAAAAAAATTTAACTTAAATGATTTGAGCAAATGGCTGCAATATAACAAAGAGTGACAATTTTAAGGGGGTCTGAATACTTTCCGTACCCACTGTATATATGGACCTAACTGTATAATTAAGAGTAGTATACAATAGCTGTCTCATTTAGAAGGCTGCACCCTCCGGAGGTCGAATCCTCTGTAGGATGCATGTACGAAGTGTCCTCAACCTAGAATGAAACGAGACGGCCTTCGTAGGACAGGCGGAAAAGGAAACCGGAATTATCACGTTGCTATGCCAACACATCTAGAGCATCGTTGCGCTCTCACACTACTTAAACAAAGGAAAATTATTTCTAAATTTGGAAAGTAATTTGAAAAAAAATGCTTTTACTTGTTTTATTTTGTTCAATGTTGAGGAACTGCAGCGTACGTACAGCAGACATCTATTAGAGAAAAAAAGGAGGAAGATATTTAAAACAAAGTTTATCCGTTTTGACCGAGGCGAATTAAGGTAAGTTGTAAACACCACATCTGCGCTTGTGTGTACGTTACATCTGCCGGCGCCGGCATTTTTCAAATTAACAACGGTTGTTCACGGCGACGCAAAGAATTGTGGGTTATCTGTAGCAGCGAAGGATACACCTCATGCATCCTCCGAATTCTTGTGAAAGAAGGTCTCATTCGAAGGTCGCATTCGGAGTGTCCTACTTGCTTTTCTGAAATGAGACAGCCTCGATGACGTATGCAGCCTTCGAATGCGACCTCCAGAGGACGCAGCCTTCTAAATGAGACACAGTAAATGAGTGACAACTTAGTGAGGAAGTGAGTTGTCGGATCGCTGATTTCGGCGTTTGATTCAGTCTTGACTTGTGAACAGGCTTGACATGTTAAAAAAATAAAATTAAAAAAATAATTGGGCACCCCTTTTCAGTTTTCTCTTCTGTCTTCCAGTTTGTATTTCCACAGCAAGGTAGTGTGAATTTAAGAAAAACCATAAAATTTTTTGGGTCTACTGATATTTGTTATGCTTCAAACATTAAAATGCACATGATATCTTTCATTAACTATACAATAAGTAAATCCCTTCACCAGCTAATTACTCTTCAACAGTGATGCTATAGAGATACTGCAAGAACTGAAGTTTGAAGACAGAATTCTAAAGATGTGCACTTGTTTCTTTGGGGCATAAGGTCTATATACTGTTATATGACATAACAGGGCCTGAACGGGGTGTGAGACTGTCTTGCACACAATTTTAAACATTTACAAAAGTTCTGCAATCACAATGCAGTAATTCCCACACACCTTAACTATATCACATGAGTGAGTTTAACATTTTTTAAATAATTAGAGAGAGTAAAGATACATTTCCAAAAGCAAAAATAAAAAAACATTTAAAAAAACCTCAGTTACGTGACTTTGTAGTCATGAGGCAAGTGAAGACTGACACCTCCAGACAGCTCTTCTGTGATTGGTCAAAGCACCCCGCACTGTGCATTGTGGTATCATGGGGGGGAGGGGGAGTTATGGGTTTTGACGTGGTGTACCGATACTAATAGGCAAAAATGACTTTACATAATCTAACAATTGTGCTTTATTTTTTTATTGCTGACGAGTGTTAAATAATTAAATAAATCTTCTCCTGCGTTCTACTGTACAAACGTGAATTTACATTTGCTTCAGCCTGAGGTTTATTCATTACACTTTTTGGTGTGAAAGGGCTTTTATATTTGCTATAAACAGAACTTCTAATATTAAAAACAATCAAGCCCTGCTTATATTTAAAAAGTAACGCAAAAGTAATATAACGCATTACTTTCCATAAAAACTAAGTAACGTAATTAGTTACTTTTTTAGGGAGTAATGCAATATTGTAATGCATTAGTTTTAAAAGTAACTTTCCCCAACACTGGTCGATACCAATACAAGTGAAATATGCAATACTTCTTTTTAGAGCCTGACCAATATATCGTTTTGCCGATATTATCGGCCGATATGAGCCTATCGCCGAATATGCCGCCGATATGAATTTTTTTTTTACAGAACATATAACGCAGATAAAATGCTTGAAATTGTGTAATTACTTAGTTTGTCCATTGTTTGCTACTGGCGACCTGGATGAAACGCTTTAAAGCTTAAGTCTATGGAAAACCATTGAACGGCCATATCTCCGTAATGGCGCGGAGAATCCACACCGAATTCGGGGGATTCCTTCAGCTCGAGGAACCCTCTCGAACGCGAATCGGGTGTACGTCTAGAAGCCCGCTTTTGAATGAGACCAGCCCCCGGGGTCCGGGAGTTACAGGTGGTTACATTCGCGGTCCGGCGCCGAACGATCAAGCGATCCCGGGGGGCTACCGACGCGCGGAGGGGGGCGTTCGAGAGGGCTCCTCGAGCTGAAGGGATCCCCCTAATTTGGTGGAAATCTGCCGGCGCGTTCGCGAGATAGTGACACCAGTCAACACTTTCACTTCCGAGATAGGGACACCAGTCAACACATTCACTACAGTAAGGAGGTCTCTTGTTCAGGCAGCAGCATTCAGGCGTTGTCTTATTCGACCGTAAGTGCCCTGCGAAGTGGACTTCACATGAAATTCCACCATGATTCCAGTTCCAAGGGAACGTACGCGTTACATTCAAAGGGCATTAAAGTGCGCGAAACGTGAATTTATATTTAGGGATGCACCGAATGTTCGGCAACGAACCGAATAGCGAAAAGACCGAATAAATTGTACCGAACAATGATATGACGCGATCAAATAGCGACCAGCGCAGAGTGAGAGGCAAGCACTCTTTATTATGCAGCACACACGTCAGCAGTGTGAAAGCATTTAAACTGTCGGAGAAAGACGCAAAAATCATTACAAGCACCGACAG